TGAGGAAGTGAGCTAGTCTTTGCTGGCTCGAGCATGGAGACATGGAACACATCATGAACCCTAAGGTTTGCTGGCAATGTGATCCTGTATGCTCATCGTCCTACTCGTTCCTGGACTGGATAAGGTCCTGCAAACCGGGTATCCAGCTTTGGTGTAGGTCGCCTGGTCTTCCAGTTCCGGCGGTTGATGTATACCATATCACCCACTTTGAACTCGATGTCCTTGTGCTTCCTGTTATACTGGTCTACTGTTCGACGCTGTGCCTCCCTGATCTGCTCCTGAAGGTACTTGCAACGTTCCTTTCCATCGATGAGGTATTCAAAGCGATCTGGATCATTGACTCCTAGTATCACGAACCGGCCCTACGGTTGACAATGACGACGAGGGCGAGATCGAGAGGAGAGGCAGAGGAGACTACCAGACTTCGGAAGGAGTAGATGAGAGAGTTGATTGAGAGAGTGACTTATGATCTCTTTTCCTTAAGGGAAAAGAGAAGAGAAGAAGGAAGGAGCAAACTATGAGATCGAAAGTACAAGACTCCATGCGACGAGTCTAAGACTCTTCTGCAGTGAAATTACATATCAATGTTAGATCTATGATAAATATGAGAAGGGTCATGACTGAGTCGTGACAGGCTCCATATCACTCGACTTCATTGAAGGACTACCACCATCAAGGAAGTATGACTCCATCCTCGTCATCGTCGACAGACTGACCAAGTTTGCCATACTGGCCCCGACCTATAAGACAGTCACTGCAAAACAGACTGCGGCGCTGCTATATGGACACATGGTTAGACTCTTCGGCTATCCAGATCATATGGTCTCGGACCGAGGCAGGCAGTTCATCTCAGGAGCATGGAAGGCCTTTGCTGAGCAGATGGGGGTGAAGCACTCACTCAGCATGGCCTATCATCCCCAAACCGATGGACAGACGGAGAGGGTCAATCGGGTCGTAGAGCAGTACCTAAGGATGTACTGCAACTATGAGCAGGATGACTGGGCCGACCTGCTGGACACTGCAGCCTTTGTATACAACAACACGGTCCACAACAGCATTGGTGTCTCACCGTTCTTTGCATGCTATGGATGGAACCCCAAGGCTCATCCTGACATCCCTCAACGGCTAGGAGTCAATGATCCAGATCGCTTTGAATACCTCATCGATGGAAAGGAACGTTGCAAGTACCTTCAGGAGCAGATCAGGGAGGCACAGCGTCGAACAGTAGACCAGTATAACAGGAAGCACAAGGACATCGAGTTCAAAGTGGGTGATATGGTATACATCAACCGCCGGAACTGGAAGACCAGGCGACCTACACCAAAGCTGGATACCCGGTTTGCAGGACCTTATCCAGTCCAGGAACGAGTAGGACGATGAGCATACAGGATCACATTGCCAGCAAACCTTAGGGTTCATGATGTGTTCCATGTCTCCATGCTCGAGCCAGCAAAGACTAGCTCACTTCCTCACAGGACAGACCAGCCAATCATACCATCACTTCCTAATGAAGACCTCGACTTCGAAGTAGAAGCACTCATTGACAAGCGTTCGTTCAATGGGACTACGGAGTACAAAGTGCTTTGGAGGGGGTACTCAGAGGAAGCAGCCTCTTGGGAACCCGTCTCAAACCTCGACTGTCCTGACCTCATCTGGGAGTATGAGGTGTCGGAGGGGGGACGAGCGAGCAGAAGAAGGAGTGGAGAGTAGGAGAAGAGTCAGTATGAACCAGACAGGAACGTGGGACTAGCCTCAACGGAGCTCGGCTCTTAAGAGGGGGGTAGTGTCATGGGCCTGAGTGCACAGGTAGCATGAAGGCTGTTGGTTCATATGGTAGGAGCACAGGTACCAAGGGTCGGGTCACAGAAGAAGACGACCATAGCAGGCCTAGGGGGGGTCGAGCAGAGGCCAGAGGCCTAGCTGGTACCGGTAGCAGGAATGGCTGGAGTGCAACCTCCATGGAGAGTGCAGTCTCCATGGAGACCATGGACACGGAGGACTAGGCCCGTATGCAAGGAGGTCCAAGCACCACCACAAGGAGGACCGAGCTCAAGGAGCATGCAGACGGTTACCACTCAGGGGCTCGAGAGACAAGAGTCAAAGGAACCGTCACCAGTCGAAGGAGGAAGAGCAGTGTAAGAGACAGAGACCGGCAAGCAGGTCCTGAGGAGGAGGAGCAGTGTCGAAGGAGCTGACATAGCTCAAGGAGGGCAGGAGTGGTGCTAGAGTGACCCCCTGTACAGTACTCGATGAAGAGGGTACTCTCTGGAGAGAGAGCAGGAGCAGTGTCGCTGGCGACGCTGTGAAGAGGTATATAACCATGCCTTCTCGTCATCAGAGGTCGAGTGGATCCTCATCCACTCTACACTCACCATATTAACTAGTTATCACTTCAAGCATAAGTACTCATTAGTTACAGTAAGCATAGTGGCAATCTATCCAGGTTGCCTCTCATTGTAGTGTGTGTGTTGTATCACCACTCACTGACGTCCGAAGGCGGTTCATAGCAGACCAGCAGTCCGGATTAAGATAGAACCGAAGGCAGTAGTCCACTGCGGTCTGGGGATCACTTCAAGCATTAGTCAGCACACTGGACACTCGTGTTGACGCCACCGAATTACCACCAACGCCACCAACCTTATCACCAACACCATCAACTTCATCATCACCACCACTGACTTCACCATCACCTTCGTATTGGTATTGATCGTGCCGAGCCACCTCTGAACGGAGTGTCCACAGAGGTCAGCCGAAACCTACGATAGTATATACAACGGACGCCACCCGCTGTCCTCACGCAGCTTGATAGTCACCGAGTATCTCGACAGACTGACCTAGGCTTCAGGCGCGCGACCTCTGACACGGTTCTACTACAGATATCAGGTTTCAGGCGCGAGACCTCTGATAGTTGGCACTGCTTCCCTTTCTTCCTGCGGATGGAAGGTCCTCGTGTTGCTTCATCATTGATAGGGGCCACTCCCACTTCATCTGAGTGGTGACCCACACCCCCTCTTCATCTCACCCATCCTCCTGCTCTGAGTTCATCATCGAGTAGGCCCCCTGCTTCATCAGAGTGGCAGACCCAAATGTCATCACCATCTGTCCTATTGTGAGATCCGTGATATCGGTGTCCTCTCACTGGTTTCCACAAGATCTGTCGTACAATCATGATACTACTGATTCCAGCAGGCTTCGTTGTAAGATCCTGCTCATACCGATTTGGACGAATCCTGTTGTAGAGACTTGCTACTACCGATCTCGATGAACTCTGTTGTAACCCCTTGTTTTGCCCGATCCCGCGATTCCTGCGCCTCTCCTCATATGACTTCGGTTCTTCCTGCTTCCTGCGCATCTGGTCCCATGAAAGGAGAGAGGTAGGAGCAGAGGGGTGGAACTTGTGCAGAATTCAGCAGGCATGCCGCAGAGCTAATAACGAATCTTCCTGGCTGAAGCTGAAGTTGCGGGAGAGACTGTGGTTTCTGCTCTCAGAGCTCCAGCGGTGGGCCCAAAGGCCGCATCATCATGTAGTCATTGAGCCGAGATGAAGGCCAAAAGATTGTAAGCCACCCTTTTATGAGCTTGGGCCTTTGGGCAATGCGGCCCCACAGCTTCGGCCAATAGAGGCTGAGCCGTGCACCAGATGGGGGGAAAAAAAGCGCTCGTCGCCATCAGGGCCAGAAAAGGGTGAGATGACAAAGGTAGCTGAAGATGCTCCTGAGTAAAGTTGGTTGTATGATTGCCGGTTTTGCCCAGAATTTCGGTGAGGGCTCCCCAGCTTTGCGCTAAGCAGCTAGTGCTGTTCAGATTTGGGTCAAGAGTCGAGGTTCTTGGGTGAAGTCGAGGCAGAAGAAAAGCTCTAGTGCTACAGTCGGTTTAAAAGTATGGTTGCTCATTGTGTTGCATTGCAGCCGAACAGGATCGTAGAAGACTGGTTGGGGGCGTGCACCACAGTCCAGTGAGCAGTCTGGTAGGTTGTTGATATGGTGTTGGTGATGAGGAACTGTGCAGTGTGTTTGGACAACTGTTGAGAGTAGGGTCAGCAGAGACTGACATCATCTCGAAACCCTTAAAATCACCATAGCTCGGCCATTTCTTGATAAGTCTTGTTCATAAAAGGTGGAGGGCATGTCCCTCGCTATTCCACATTTGTGGTGGCCAAAAAAAAAGGCAAAAGCCCTGCCAAGGCGTGTTTTCTTTTCTTCTTTTTATATCAGACCGAAGAAGGCCTATTATATTGCAACCACATCGAAACAGATATTGTACAAAAGGACACAAGGGGGAAAGAATGAAAAATGCCTCTAGGCCAAGATTGAACTTCTCGTCCGACAGATACCAACAAACTTTGGGTTCTCAGAGAGGTAACTTCCTGGTCACCGAGGCAAGCAAGAGAGTCATAGGCCAAAGTCACCAATAAATGCCAGAAGAGTCGCAGACATGAGGTCAGAGGCAGGTTGGAGTGGCCTGCGTGTGGTACGCACGGTGCACCAAGAGCAAAAAAAGGACCCACCGTCGTGATCAGGACCCGCCGTTGTGATCAGGCCCTCCAGAGCTGTTGCTGAGAGATATTGATGATTGTGCTAATGGGTCATAACGAAAAGGGGTGCTGGTTTTGCCTGGCATTACTATGCTGAGCTCCCTAGCGTCGCTAAAGTAGCGAAGCTTGCGAAAGTTGCAGTTTCATTGAGTCGAGTTCGAGCGAAGGTGGTGTTGCTGACCTTGGAGTCTGCGGAGGTGCCGATGTGGCCGGTTTTTGATACGTTTAGATGTGCTGTGGTCTGCTGAGTGTCGTCATTGAGTCTGGTGAGGAGTTGTGATGTCGAAAGGTCGAGGTGATCAGGAGCGACGCCTGATTAGTACCAGTGACACCATCTCGAAACCTTAAAATCGCCATAACTCGGCCATTTCTTGATAAGTCTTGTTCGAAAAAGTTGGAGGGGGTGCCCCTCGATCTTCCGCGTTTGTGGAGGCCCTCAAAAGGGCAAAAAATCGTGCCGAAAAACAGGTTGTACTGAGATTCGAACCCAGGGCAAGAGAAGTCAAATTGCATTGTGGCGCTTGACAGCAAACAATCAGAATCTCCTAAGTTAACCAACTACTCCATACAACCTTGGATGCCGCAGTTGGGCAAGTTTGCTTTGTAAGCATTAAGCCATGTTCTTGCCGAGTATTTGGCGCTTGTCGTTGCGACCCAAAACTTGCCTTGCTGCGACTGCTACTGCAAGCGACATCTGACTTAAGTTCTGATCGTCTGGTACAACAAAATAGACTGGCCCGCGACAGTAGAGATAAGAGTAGGGATACTAAAAAGAACGACAACTTGAATGGCAAGAAGGCCAAAAAGATCCATTCTGAAGAGGACTTTATTTTTTTATAGCAGGCCTTATGGCCTTATTTTATTATGAGCAAAAAAGAAGGAAGCAAAAACTACAAGGGAACCAAAAAAACCCCCCTCAGGTCAGCAACAAACTACAAGTGGAGCACAAGCATCTAGCATTGTGTCCTCTGGAGAGGTGACTTTCCAGTAAGGTGAGTGAGAGAGCCAAAAACAACATCTATCACATTTTGCCACACCAGCAGATGACCAAAGGTCAGGGGTTGGATGAAGATAAAGGGAGAAGAGTGCAAGAACATTGTCAGGGGAGGGGAAGGCAAATGGGTCAAGGGTTGTGTATCACAGAATCACTGGGAAAGGGAAGTTTGGAGTTTGGGTAGCCAACACATATCAGCTGGTACTTGGTTGTAGAATCTCTTGCAAGAGGGGTTGAGTCGTTGCAGAGGGCTCAGGCATGGTCATTGTTGTTGTGGTTGTACAGTCCCTTCCTGAAGTTTGGGGACAGGGTTCAGTAGACAATCATCCAACTCGTGTGGTAGCATACCTTCCATCCGCTTGGATGACTGATGTTGTCATGGGCCTGAATGTGCAGGAAGCAGGAAGACCCGTCGATTCATATGAAGGGAGCACAGGAATCAGGGAATCGGGCAGATTGTAGGATTTGCGGCAGAGTTCACCAAGATATGCAGTAGAATCGGCTCTATGACAGATCTCAGTGAGATTGGTACAAGCGAAGGTGGAATCACAAATCCTGCCAGGATCTGTAGTAAACACGATCGTGTGGTGGATTCTGTGGAGCTCAGTGGCAAGGATGATAGTGCGACGAACTTCACATGTGAGGAGTGGGACCAAGCGTTGCCAAGGAGAGGACCAAGCTCAGGAGCATGCAACTGGTTACCACTCAGGGGTCACAAGATGAAGACCTGGAGAACTGTCGCTGGTGGAAGGAAGATAAGCAGTATCAAGGACACCGGTAAACAGGTCATGAGGAGGAAGAGCAGTGTCGAGGAGATCGACACATAGCTCAAGGAGGACAGAAGTGATGGACAAGCAGGGTTCGACGAAGAAGGTACTCTCTGGAAAGAGAGCCGGAGCAGTGTCGCTGGCGACGCTGCAAAGGATGTATATAACCATGTCTTCTCGTCATAAGTGGTCGAGTGGAGGAGCATCCACTCTACACCATATCAAACTAGTTATCACTTCCAGCATAAATTATACATTAGTTTCAGTCAGCATAGTCGCAATCAAGCATATTGCTTCTCATTGTAGCGTGTGTGTTGTATCACCGCTCACTGACGTCCGAAGACGGTTCATAGCAAGCCAGCGGTCCAGATAAAGATAGAACCGAAGGCAGTCGTCCACTGCGGTCTGGGGATCACCTCAAGCAATAGTCGACACACTGGACACTTGTGTCGACGCCACCAAGCAATCATATTTGCACCAGACCTTGGTGTCAGTACACTTCACTTCATTATTGATCATGCCAAGCTACCTCTGGACGGAGTGTCCACAGTGGTCAGTCGAAATCTGCAATAGCATATACTCAATCACAGATTTGAGCGAGTAAAGTCATAAGGACATTACTACATCAGAACCCATCAATCACCTGATCCCGCGATTCCTGCACATGATCTCTTCTCATTCGGATCCAGTTCTTCTGCGCACGTGGTCCTATGACACGGTGTTGGACATGAGTGGAAGCGCAGAGTTCAACCAACCTCACAGAGGAGCAAGCTGCCATTGACCCAGCGTTGAACAAAGACTGGGCACTTTGCACTTGCGCATTTTTCATAAGCGTCAGTAATGGTCTTGCAGACTAATGCGACGTGGTCCACAGCAAAGTTCGTAAACTCGCAGACCAAGAGAGGGCTTGTCGTGATCAGGTGGTGGCTGGACTCCAGCAGACAAGTCTCTGGCACAATCAAAGGACTCATAATGGTGTTGGTTTTGCCATTGCTCGGTGCGGGGGCTCCCCGATGTCACTCAGAAGTTGTTAGTTACCAAGAAAGGCTGAATTCCATTAAGAAAGGAACATTCTGGTCTGGTATTATGCTGAAGGGTCAAAGGGGCTGGTGCGAGGCGAGTAGATGATGCTGGGATTCCAGACTTGGTGTGTTCACCTGCGCTTAGGGTAGGCGGTGCAATTGTATTGGGCTGTGAGACAGGGTAATAGGGCGAAGGAGGAGTTGCAGATGGCACTTCTTGATGGGTGTCCGAACACCATCTCGAAAACTCTAAATCACCATTACTCATCCATTTTCTGATCAATCCTTCAAAATTTGGTGAGGGCAGTTCCCTCAGATTTCCGCGTTCGTGGTGGCCAAAAAAATAGCGAAAAAAATTGCCAAGCTGAAGGTCGAACTGGGATTCGAACCCAGGGCAAGAGAAGTCGAATCGAATCGCCGAGCTGAACTCGCCTGATCAGAATCTCCTAAGTTAACCAACTACTCCATTCAACCCTTGCTTGCTTCACCTTGACTACTGTCGAGTATATTTAGCGGCCATTGAAATTGTTCGGAAGAATGCCAGACTTCTCAGGGCAATAGTACTGACTCAACACCACAGTTTGAACAGCAAGCTCCTGTGCGAGGCATTGATTGCACTGCGATCATTCAGAAAAGCTGGTCTACATCTTTGAGAAAGGCCTCGAGATCAAAGGGAATGCAGGCATCGAACATGCTCGCATCCATCACATCCGAATGGCCGGGTGTGGGAGTGACAGAAGCTGTCGAAGCGGCGTGTGAAGGTTCTAGACCCGGTAAATTCCAGAACAATGCTTCCTCGCTCATCGACTCATTGTTGGCGGAAGGGTGATTTCTTGAAGCTTCTTCTGGCACTCTGGCTGATTCAGTCGTTGTCGTATGGCGTACTTGCTGGTTGACTGCCCGCGTTGGATCCATATTGAGAGCACCCGAACCCTGCACTGCTTCCGCCGCCGATGCAAGAAAGTCCATTGCGGACGTTTCTGCGCGGACGGATCGACCGTCCGCATAAGCAACGGCGTGGCTTTCAAAGGATTCTTCGGCCTGCGTCGAGGTCCCTCGGTTTGCGACCCCCTTCGACGTCTGATCGTTCCGAAGCGAGGAGACGGGACGATAGACACGATAGAACACCTGCCACAGTTGGGCCATTTCAATCATCTCGTCAATGTAGTCGGCAGAGATCTGCGCAACTGTGTCGACGTTCGACTTGGAGCTTTCAGGCGACAGCCGTCTGATGCTCTGAGCGGACGCTTCCATCACGGTGATGTTCAGTGAAGCGTCACTAGACGTACGTGCCCAAGCGACCAATACAAACGCAATGCTCTCTAGACATCTCCTGGCTCCGTGCACCGTCATGGCACACAGAAGCAACGTCGGCAAGCGTTGCAGATACCTGGGTGAAATTTGGGCTTGAGAGTTGGATCTGTGCAGCACAGGTTGACGATCCAGCTGCGCCACGCCAGAAAGTAAGGCACGACTCATCTCCATGCCGAAGGTTCCAACCTCGGAGATGTGATGAGCACCACTCAATCGAAATCGGACTGAGCGCATCAACTCGGTGGCATCGATGGAGCCCTCCAACTTGCCCGAAAAGATGCACGAAGTATGGTGGCTGCCGATCAGAGCGGAGAAGAAGGCACATTCGATGTGCACGAACTGTTCCCACAAACGCACCAGGCGTTGGCCAGCATAGACTCCTGTTACCAAGGATTGAACCACGATTTCTTGTCAGTATTTAGCGGTCTCTGTATTCTTTCGGTAGGACGTAGCTGCGACTCACCCAAGGCTTCGTCCGTACGATCTCGAACACTAAGAATCCTGCCAGTAGTTTCCCAGTGAAGGTCAGTATATCGCTGGTGCTTCTCTTCCTGCGACAGTTGAGCATCCGAGATTGTCTCTTGAAGCTGACGCAAGCCGCTCAAGAAGCAACAAGCGGTTTCCACGCGCAGACAGATCACGGTACGACCAGCAGAACGTAGAATGCCATCTCGGCCGTGTTTCTTCTCTAAACTGCTGCAGAATTCTCGCATCTCGTTGTACGATTTGGTGGTCGGGCCGTTCGGATCCTGGAGCCGCGGTGGAGATGGCAGCTTCTGCCCTTCCTCATCGACGTTGTACAGCAGCTTATGTGCATTGGCAGCAAATTGAACATCCAGATCATCGATAATCGTGAGCTTTTGACCTAAGAAGGCGTAGAGTGCCTCCCAAGAGCGCAGGCAACACCATAGACTGAGATGTGTAAGCCCCTTTGATGACGACTGTTGTGTGCTTGTGATGGAATCGTCCAATTTGAGCTCCCTGGCTATCCTGAGCGAGCAAGTGAGAAGATTCTCGGAAGCCAGACCGAAACCTCTGCCATCGAGCTCGAATTGGGAAGCAGCAGTGCCAACAAGGCCGGGTTCGTGAGAAAGCAAAAGCTCGAAGGCCATGACGATATGGATATCGCGTGGCGATGATAGTAGCATTTGTGTACCGAGCCGATCGACGTAGTTGGAGAGGTTCCGAGCGTCAGGCGACGACAGTTCATCTTCGAGCCCTTTCAGAGCAAGTAATGTCATTGTGGCTAGCAGCAGGGCTCGTGGTAAATTCGCGCTGAGAGACTGCTGACGGTGCAGACTGGTCAGTGAGGGCAAATAAGGATGTCCGACGAGGTAGTCCTGCAATTGCAGATCCATCAGCACCATCTTGTCGGGTTGGAGGAAGGTCACTATGTCTGGTGTTGAAGGAGGCGTGTCGATTCGCATCTTGAGATAGTTGTCATACCTTTGTTTGCGCTGCAAGCGCTCTATGAGA